GTTTTCGATTATACAGGATTTGAACGACCCAGGGTTGATCAATCACTATTTTACTATAAATGCAAGTCTTTCATTGGTGGAGAGGTTGCAATGACGTCATTAACCAACCCTGGGTCGTTCAAATCCTGTATAATCGAAAACGCTATATGAAATATTTCGTTAAATATTCATTTTTCAATTATTTTAGATAACCGGTAGAGACTATCCGATTGGATTAACACCGACTGTACTATAATGTAGGTCAGGAGTTCGAATAAATCACTTGTTTAACAATATAAACGATGGTCTTTATTGCAATCTGAAGAATACACTTAATACTGATTGTCTGCTCGCAAGACTAGTTCTAATTTCTACGACAACTCTAATTCTCGACTGTCCCTAATGCCGGCTCGGAACAGAGTGCTCCTTTACATTCGGCTCCGAATAAAGAAGTCGGTTCCGTATATTTGAGGATGTTCCAGATTGTTCGCCGCATCCGGTCAAGATCTATAGAGAGAAGGTTACCTCAGGCAAACCGGTTGTGGGCGAGGGACGATGAAGTAAGGGGGGAGCTAGAAACAGCTTGAGGCGAGGGGCGATGATGGAAGGGGAGAGCATGATGATCTCATCGACAAACAGTAGCTGTCTCTCTCTTTCAAAGTTCTTCCTTTTCTAACTGTTTCTAACTCTGTCACTCGCTTTCATTATTGACTTTTATGTATCAGTTTAAGAGGTTATATAGTAAAAATCGAAGGTACGTATATTAATTATTTTGTCTGTTATTTTCCCTAACATATTCAAATGAACAAAACCGAAGAAATAATTTAACTTACATTTATGAATTTTAATTACAATTTCTTGACAATTTTTGAGATTTTCACAATTAAATATAAAAAATAAATTTCTTTATAGTATTTCTTTTGTAAATAATGCATATAAACAGTAAATATTATTTTAAAAATAATTTTTAAATATGTACTATTTTTTCTTTTATTTTACTACTTTACAAATGATGTGTGTATATCCTCAAATTATATTTGTGTATATCCTCAAATTATATTTTATTTTCATTGATATTACAGTCTAAATACGAGTACAAAGCAATTTGTATCACAAATGCATCTGTTGCAGCGATATTTAACATTATAAACGTTAAATATCTAGCGCTATAATTTGCAATATATGTAATTTATAGCGCCTTTCTAATTTACTTTTCAATTTTTATTACGCAATTTCCAGTGCTATCAATATTTTACAAAATAAAAGTATTTTTTCGATAAAAACTCAAAGCATTTCTATATTAAAGGAGCGAGAGAGAAAACACTAAAGCGTGCGATAGAGACAGCTACTGTTTGACGATGAGATCATCATTGTCCTCCTCTTGCCGCTCGCCCCGCTCAGCATGTGCCCCTCTTGCCGCTCGTCCCTCTTTGCGCGTGAGGTAACCTTCTCTCTATAGATCTTGGTATCCGGTTTCGTACAGAAGCATCGACTTATTGTATCGATCGAGTGTCGATGTATCGTACTTCAATATATCGCTGGTATGGTGATTTGTTACACCAATTATATTGTCGTGATCAGGAGGATGTCTGGAGACTAACGAACGAACGCTCAATACAAGATCTGGATAGGAAAAAGATATATTTCTTACTCAAACGGAAACGTGTCTTCCACGCGAACAAAACGAAAACAAGTGACTGACTGTTTACGCACTGCGCGCCCTTTTCTTCTTCCGCGTCCTCACGAGCCGAGCGCTCTGATTGGTTGCGGCCTTTTTCGCCGCTCGAGCTAGTGACTATTTTATTGTCACTGTTTAACAGTGCGCCACAATACCCCCTTCGAGTAACGTAATTATTATCTACGATATTTTACCCGAGAGCTTACATCTAAATCACAGTTTTATGACTATGTTTAACGTTCTTACTTTTAATTAATATGTGCGCGTGCTTAATGCTAAAAAAAAAGTCTTTATATGAACACACGCATAATTACGCTGGAAAAGAAAAGAAAACAATTAATGGAATGGAGAAATAAAAAATACTGTAGAAGAATAAACTTAAAGTCTCTAAATTTATAGTTTATAGTTTGAATCGGAGACGTTTTGTCTTAGGACCGCTATAAGTTTTTAGCACTCTTTGGCTTTGCACTATCACCGGCGAGGTTGGCTGCAATACCTTCACTGTCACTTTTTTGCCAGCAACTGACCTCTGCTTCGTAGTCAGCGTTGCTGTAGGTGCGGTGATGTTACCGTTTGACGAATTTGCAGGCGTGACTTCCGGTTCCTCCGGCGTTTCCGGCTATTGAGATGGAACTTGTTGACTTTGGTTATCCGAATTGGCTTGGACTGTCATGTTGGTATCCTCTTGAAGTTGGTATGCCGGTTTCAAACGCTCGGTATTGACAACCAGTTCCTTATCGGCGTTTAACCGAATCTTGAAAACTCTGTCAGTGATTCTCTCTAGGATTTTGAACGGTCCGAAGTATGGCTGCTTGAGAGGCTTCTTCACCGTATCATCGCGCAAAAACACATGTGTACAGGTGTACAGGTCCTTGAAAACGAAGGATGTGTCCTTGATGTGGTGTGCGGTAGGCGTCGGTCTAAGCTTTCGCATAATCTCGCGAAATCTCTCTACAAAAACTTCGGGATCCTCGTCCAATTCTTCTTCTTGGAAAAACTCTCCCGGAATACGTAGTGTAGAATCATATACCAATTTCCGCGGGTGTGCACTTAATGTCGTCCTTATACGCTGATTGTATACCCAAAAGTACGACAGGCAAAGCGTCGATCCAGTTGGACTCTTCATGGCACATCAATGCTGTTTTAATTGTACGGTGAGAACGCTCTATCATGCCGTTTCCTTGTGGGTGGTACGCAGTGGTCCTGACCCTCTTGCAGCCGATCATGTTTTTTAGGGCGTTGAAAAGGCGAGCTTCAAATTGGCTGCCCTGGTCTGTGGTGATGCAGCGGGGCGCTCCGAATCGCGCGATCCAGTGGGTATACAGAGCATTAGCGATGGTGTCAGCTTCTATATCTTTGAGCGGAATTGCCTCCGGCCATCTGGAAAAACGGTCAATCAAGGTTAAACAATACTTGTACCCATTAATTGAGCGAAGCGGTCCCACCAGGTCGGTATGAATGTGATCAAAACGACTGCTTGGAATATGGATTTTGTCTGGGTGATTTTTATTGTGCCTATAAATTTTAGAGCGTTGGCAGGCAATGTACGTCTTAGCCCAAAGCATAATTTGTTTGTTCATGCTTGGCCACACAAATTTTTTGCTAATAACTTTGGCCGTGCTCCTCCCACTGGAATGAGATAGCCTGTGGACATTGTCGAAGATTTGACGTCTCAATGATTTGGGTATGTATGGGCGGATGTCTCCTGTAGACACGTCGCAGTACACTGCCTCCAAAGCCTCATTGATAATCACTTTCTGCAGTCGTAACAAAGTATTGCAAGATTTAAGCAGATGCTCAAGCTCCTCGTCGTCCTTTTGTTCCCAGGCGATTTGAACGTCGTCCACAATTACGGGCATTGCAATAGTTTCTATTCTGAATAGGGCGTCGGCGGCCACATTTTCTGCCTCCACGATGTGCTTGATGTTGGTTGTGAATTGGCTGATGAAGTCCAGCTGTCGAAGTTGATGCGGAAGAGCTTTCTCGGGTTTCTGTTTGAACGCGAACACCAGCGGCTTATGATCCGTTCGTATCTTAAGTTCACGGCCCTCGACCATGTATCGAAAATACCGTAGTGAATTGTAGATTGCTGCTAACTCTCGGTCATATGCGTTGATGAGCCCTAAGAATCTCTTCATTTCTTGAACGTTTTCTAGTTTCTTGTACTCGCGAATTGCGACAACACGGTCGGGTAACGGCAGCGTACCCTCGCTGGTAATTTTATAACCCAGGAAAGCGATCTCGCTCTTGCCGAAAACGCATTTCTCGATGTGGCGGCTCACCGCCACACAGCTGTACTGAAGCGGCATAATACGCCGCGGCGCCGCTACGCGCCGCAGGCCTTCTATCAGTTATAAGCTTGCGGACCCACCGCCAGGTGGCACAGGCGGTGAAGAGCTTTCTCGCGATCAAGCTTCGATCGAGGAGATATAAAAGAGCTGCTCCGCAGATCTTTACTCACTCACTCGCTTCAAGGCGAGCTCTCACAAAGGGCCCTTGAACGGAGTCACAGCTCTGCTTCGAAGAGCGCAACCAGCAAGTCTTCTCGACTTTTCACAGTGCCTGGGAAGGCACGGAAGCGAAAGACTCAGTCTCAGCTCTGACCGCACACCTCACGTAGGATGTACAGCTACGGTCAGCTGACGCACCAGCATCGCCGTCGCCACCACAGACTCTACAGCGGAAAATAATTCCCTTAGAGTTCTGTGCCCGGTTGACTCGGCCCCAACGTGACACTCACGTTCCGGGGACATCCGAATGCGAAGGCCTCTCCCGCCTCGGCTCGCAGACTCACTTGCGACTCACATCGAGAGCCGGACGGTCGCAGCGCATGGCACAACGGGAGACAGACTCCACCGCAACGCAAACCTCACCGCCGGGATGCAACACGCACCCTCGCATGAATCGTCCTGTTAAGGACCCGATTCCAACCACGCAGACGCGGCCGGTAATATCTTACCGCGCCCGTCACCTTTCATTCGAAACTCGCGGCCTTACACTCTGCCGCGAATGCGCCGCTGGCGCACTCAAGTTACACATACACCTGTACATACATACTTCTCTCTGACAAAGAAATAAACACATTTCTACACAATTGACTCTATCTCACTTCTCACCAGTCGAACACAATCCATTAGGCCATACGCCTATACTCGACATTGACTGTAAGACCATGTTCGCTTAACCTAGCAAAAACTTCTCGTAGGTGTTGCACATGCTCCTCTTGATCCCTCGAGGCTATTAACACGTCGTCGATGTAGCAGTACGTAAAGTCCAGGCCGCGGAGGACAATGTCCATCTTGCGTTGGAAGGTTTGCGCTGCGTTGCAAAGCCCGAAGCACATTACCGGAAATTCGTACAACCCAAACGGGGTTATAACAGCCGTTTTTTGTATGTCCTCCTCTGCGACTTTTATTTGATGATACGCCCTTACCAGGTCTAGTGTAGAGAATATCTTCTTACCACTGAGACGATGGGTAAAATCATGAATGTGAGCGATGGGATACCTATCAGGTATCGTTATACGGTTAAGTCCACGGTAATCCCCACATGGGCGCCATGTGCCGGCTTGTTTCTTTTTCACCATGTGTAACGGCCTGGCCTACGGACTATTTGATGGACGGCAAATACCTCTTTGTAGCATGTATTCAAATTCCTCTTTGGCAGCCTTATATTTTTCAGGTGGTAAACGACGAGCTTTTCCTGCTACCGGTGGTCTTTATGTGACAATGTGATGTCGAAAGGTGGATTCATCGGTAACGATGGGCTTATTTCCCTCCTGGGTAATCTGGACAAATTCTTTGAGAATGTCATAGTAAGGTCCCTGGTCGGTGATCGTCGTGAGTCCCAAACACACCGCTGGTTCGACGGTTCCCTTACTGGTAAGTCCTGTCCTACGATCGATAAGCTGTTTCCTGTTAATGTCGACGAGCAAATCGAATCGTTGGAGAAAATCAGCGCCTATTATCGGTGAATGCACGTCGGCGACGATAAACATCCACTTGAAATCCCTTCTGAGTCCCAAATCGAGCGAGACGACTGTCTCCCCGTACTTCGCGATGGCTGAGCCGTTTGCTGCGAAAAGGTGTGTTTCGTCCGGCTTAGTTCTTTTTTGTGGAGGTATGACGGAGACAGATGCCCCTATGTCAATCAAATATCTGCGTGCTGACGTAGGGTCTGTGACGTGCAAGCGGTTTTCGCGTGCGACCTCGTTATTGACTGCTGACAGTAACGACGGAGCTTCCGAAAGATATGTGCACTGTCCCTCGCAGTACTTGGCTTTGTCTCCAAACTTTTTATGATAAAAGCATATCTTGCTCTTTTTCTCTTTTTTCTTCTCTTCATAGTCCTCTTCATCTTCTTTCGCTAGAAGTGCAAGGCGTTTCCTTGAAGATGAGCGTTGTCGACCTCTCCGGTGCTTGTTGCCGGTCTCCCCGCGCGAGACGTGTAAGTTTTTAAATCTACGCTCTACCAAAAAGAAAACTCTTTTCGCGATGGCGTCCACGGGAATCTGCGACACTGCGTTCACCGAGGTACGAGAAATCTGCGCTTCTGTGTATCTATCGGCGGCTTCAGCCAACATCTTTAGCTGAGCGGATGCGTCGACTGTTGGATCGACCGGACTAGTCACCTATTATTTACCATAATATCTAACGCTGCTTTTATCGCGAACGTCTCTGCGGTAAATATTGAACAGATTTTTAGTAAACTTATTTTATATGCTACTTCTTGTTCTTTTATTACTATACTCGCTCCTGTCGCTTTATTTTCCTCTTTTCTAGAGCCATCCGTATATACAGCGTGTGTCAAAAGTTCCGGGACGGCTGGATAATTTGAAAAATACGCATCACAGAAAAAAATAACCTCGACAAAGTTGTAGGATTTTTCTCGGGAAATTTGATGGTGACCTTAGATTTGGCCTTGCCAATGACCTTCAAGGTCATTTCAAGGTCAAATCGAATTTTTTAAATAAAAACCCCTATTTTTGATTCCAAAATCTAATAGCTGGTGTCAAGAGCTTTTCAAAACACTATAATGAAGTTATTTTTCATTAAGTACTTTTCGAGTTATGAGGCTTGAAAGTTACAGCATTTTGACATAAAATACAAAATATTTTGTAAAACATTCAATTTTCGGAAATCTTACCTTAATACTTTTATGCACAAAATAATGAGACAAATCAATTGGTATAAAGAAAACACATGGTTGCTTTCAAGAAAAAATATGTAATTTGCAACATGCAACTGCATACTTTTTTTTAAAACCAATGTTTTCTTTATACCAATTGATTCGTCTCATTATTTTATGCATAAAAGTATTAAAGGTAAGAATACAATATAAATATATAGCTCTTTTTCTTATTCAAATAATATTCTTGAAAACAGCAAGCTGATAGAGCCGGAGCTAGTTATAATTGCTCAAATTCCCTTTTATTATAACATTACATACGTTTCGGCCTAAAGGACGTGGCCATCTTCAGTGTAACAAATTAAAAAATCGTTGTTAGTCGTAAAACGTTGACAAGATAGTCAATTTAGGTAACGCATCCTGTTAATATGAAAACGATGAGTTAAGAACGTTCTCCAAACACGAAATTCACGAATTCAATTCATTAATTATGTCTAAATACCTTATCTTGACATGGATAGTACATTTTTTTCATAAATTTATGAGAAGCCATGGATCATCTATCTTGCAAACAGAAAGAGAAATAGATCAGAAATTACTAAAAAAATTTTGTTAAGAAAGAAAAATTGACTTAGTTAAGAAA